TGAAGAATAAAGGAAACTGTAAAATGCTAAAATTTTGTATAATTTTCTACCATCTTTTTGGAGAAAAAAGCTGTTCACCAAAAGTCAGATTAAGGATTGGAAAACTACTCCAGATGCATTATCTATGTCCCTTCTTAATGATAATGGTTTTTCATGTTTTCCTATATTGTTCTTTCATATCTTTTTTCTCTGGTAGTCTCTCAATTTCTGCAACTTAATGGGGTTAAGTGAAGATTCTGACTTCAATACTTTGTCCTGGTTTCCATGTGCCCAAGGCAGCACTGCTGTATATACCTGGCAGAGGTATGGGTCTCCTCCTCCAGACTAGAAGTACGTCGAGAGTATTACTTCGTTTATTGGTTTACATAGTTATCAAAAGCTTAAGACATGGCAAATACTGGGCTAGGTTCTGGGTATGTGGAAATGACTAAGCATGATCTCTGTCATCAAAAAGCTTACAATGTAGTTGAAAAGTTAGATAATAAGTAATTTCAACTGAATGTGATGTGCCATCATATGAGAATGAAAAATGCCAACAGAACCAAGACTGGAGGGATACTTAGATAGAAAGAAGGTGATAAGAATGACCTCAGGGCTTCCCTGGTGGCGCAGTGGTTGAGAGTCCGCCTGCCGATGCAGGGGACATGGGTTTGTGCCCCGGTCTGGGAAGATCCCACATGCTGCGGAGCGGCTGGGCCCATGAGCCATGGCCACTGCCTGCGCGTCCGGAGCCTGTGCTCCGCGACGGGAGAGGCCACAACAGTGAGAGGCCTGCGTACCACAAAAAAAAAAAAAAAAAAAAAAAAAGAATGACCTCAAGGGAGGCTTAAAAAAATTAAACCTATCCTCCACCCCACTGCCTAAGTAGTACATATTCATCATGGACACTTTGAAAATTTCAGGAGATAGTAGAAATTCACCCAGAGTTACACCATGCAGAATCACGCACTACTAACATTTCGATGATCTCTATTTAGCTTTCTCTGTATTCGTACTTTGATAATTCTGCATATACCATACCATATCCTGCTTTTTAACCTATTATTTTCCATTGAACTTAATTTTTTTCATATGCATCATTTAAAAGCTGAACAATATATTTTTAAAGAATAATACATTAGTACTAGTCTCTGTTTACAACTGACACATATATTCATTTCTATATTCTTAGGCTTTTTCCTGTACATACATATCCACATTTATGTGGGTATATATCTTTGCTTTTCATTACAATATTCGGATCATATGACCTTTATTATTTTGCAACATTTCTTCCATTTAACAATATCATGAACACTTTTCTTGATTATAACACTAAAATTTTTATTGTAAAATATGGTGTGCATTTAAATGTGCGTTAAAACAAATGCACATTTTAAGAAAAATAACAAAACAAATACCTAGGTACCCTCTGCCGAAGCTAAGAAACAGAACATCACCATAAAGCCAGAAGCCTCACATATGCTCCTTTCAAATACTTCAAATACTTTCAAGTACTTCAAATATATGCCAAATAGTCACTATCATGAATTTTAGGTTACAGAATTTCCATGTTTTAAATTTCCCATGTTTTTAAAGAATATACTGCTTTACAGAACATATTTATTTCTAAACTATGTATTATTTAATCTTGCCTTCTTTTGAACATTAAATAAATGGAATACACACACAAACATATGTATACAATCTTTGATTTGCTTCTGTTATTCAACATTATGATTTTGAGATTCATCTGTGTTGATTCGTGAAAATGTAATTAGTACCTTTAATGATCTTTAACAGAAGTCAGCAAACTTTTTCTGTAAAGGATCAGTTAGTAAATATTTTAGTCTCCGCAGGCCATACAGTCTTTGTTGCCACTATTTAACTCTACTATTTTAGTGCAAAAGCAATCACACATAATACATAAAAAATGGGTGTGACTGTGTTTTAATAAAGTCTTATTTATAAGCACAGCTGGCCTATGGGCTGTAGTTTGCCCACCCCAGCTTTATAATTAATTCATTCAATGCTCTATAATACTTCATTGTAATAATTTACTTCAATTTAAATATCCTTTCTGCTTTTGAAAAACATGGTTTGTTTCAGTTTTATTTTTCTATAATAAACAAACTTGCTTTAATCGTCTTGCCTGTGATTCTTTAGTTTTTCTGGGTTAAATATCGAATGGTAGAATTGCATAGGATATGTTCATTTTCAGCTTTGACAGGTAATTTCTACCTGTTCTCCAAAAATAATTTTATCAGTTCACATTCCCTTCAACAGGGAACTGGAGCTTCCATTACTCTATATCTGTGATAGTTTTGATTTTTTGCAATCTGATAAGTGTGAAATGGTCTGTGGTCTTAGCTTGTAGTCTGTGGTCTTATTTTTCCCTGGCTATTAATGATGTTAAAAATCTGTTCACATGCCAGTTGTATTTCCTCTCATATAAAATTCCTGTTTTCTTTTTAAACTATCATTATATTAAGCTGATCTTTTTGGCTTTTAGATGTTCCAGATGTTATTATTTTATCTGTTATTTCATTGTAAATGTTTTTCTGGTTTCTACCTTTTTCTTTTCTTGTGACTTATTTTGAAAAATAGAAGTTAATTTTCATGGAATAAAATTTATCATTATTTTCTTTTATGTTTTTATCTTCTACTATCCCAAATTTAAAAAATATTCTCATATATTATCTTCTAGACATTTCATAGGATGTTTTGTTCATTTCCTTTTAATACATTTGAAACTGATTTTTTTTTAAACGGTGTAAGCTAATCTAATTTCATTTTTTCCCATATGGATAAACCAACTATTCTAGGACCATTAATTGATGACTCTGTGCTTTCCACCAATCTGCAATGCCAGCTCTGGTGCAAAGAGTTTCCATATACCAGAACTCCATTTTTTGCCCATTGGTGTGACCACTTATCCCTGTGACAATACCACACCTTCTTAATTCCTATAGCCTTATAATAAGTAATGGTATTTGAAAGGCAACCCTCTTTACTTCTTCTTCTTCTTTAAGAGTGTTTTGGCTTCTCTTGGATCTTTGTACTCCCATATAAATTTTAGGAGCAGTTGTCAATCTAACAACCAACCAACCAAAAACAATCCATTTGGAATTCTGATTGAATTGTACAGAATTCAGAGTATGAATTCATGGATTTTTGATTAATTGGAATCTTCATAATATTAGATCTTCCAATTCATAAGCATTGTGTATCGCACCATTCATTTCAGTCTTCTTTAGTGTTCATTATTAAGGTTTTATAATTTTCTTAATAAAGGTCTTCATTCCTAGGTATTTTCTATTTTTAAGCTATTATAAATGATAGCCCTTTTAAATTTAATTTGATATCAATTTGTTTATGTACAGAAATGTGATGAATTTTTATATATAAATTTTATACCAGAAAGCTTGTTAAATTCTCTTAATAATTCTAATAATTTCAGTAGCTTCTCTTAGATTTTCTATGTTCACAACCACATAATCTATAAAGAATTTCTTCCTTCTCAATCCTTGTATTTTTAATTCCTTTTTTCTTGCCTTACTGGGCAAGAAATTAGAATATTCTAGAATATTCAATATTCAATGTTGAAGAGAAGTGGATAAAGCAGTCACCCTTATCTTGTTCTTAATCTTAAAGAGAATCCTTCAGTATCTCACCTCTAGGTATATGTTGGCTGAAGAATTGCTGTACACATGTTTTATCAGCTTAAAGAAAATCTTTTATTGTTTGTTTACTAAGGGCTCTTATAAGTAGACACTGAATTTTAAAAATGCTTTTTGGCAACTATTGAAATAATCATGTCTCTTTTCCTTTAAACAATTCATGTGAGGAAATATATAACTGGACTGTTTTAATGTTAAACAAACTTTGCATCCTAAAATAAAACCAACTTGGTCACATACCCATCTTATACACTGTTGGATGTGGTCTGGTGACATTTTGCTTAAGAATTTTGCATCTATTTCTGTGCATGAGATTGGCCTGATAAATTTGGTGTCAAGATAATTCCAGCTGCAATAAATGAGGTAAGGAGTATTCCCTAGTCAGGAAGGAAGAAAGTTTCCTCTACTCTTCAAGGTTCTTCTGGCTGGTCTAAGAATTAAATTGACCTGAGACATATTAGTGAGAGAAAACCAAACAAAAGTTTAATAACATGTATATATGGGAGAGATTAAGGAAAACTGAGTAACTCACCAAAATGGTTAAAACCCTCATGTTAAATACCATCTGCAGCCAAAGAAAAAAGAGATGTTGAGAGTAGTGGTTTGGGACTTCAAAGGAGAGAAAGGCAATTCACAAGGAGATGGAAAAGCAAATGTTTGGTAAACAAATGCTTGCTGGGCCAGGCAGAAACAATGGGACACAGAAATTTTAACAAGCAGACTTTGCTAGGTTCCTCCCTGTCTACCATACCTGGTTCATACCATAGTTATCTATTGTGCTAGCTCCCTTCCTGGAACAAGTCTTCCATCTACATTCTTTTAGTCAGTTAGAGGAAAGGTCAAAGATTCTTCCTGAGTCTTTGGACCTTAAAAATAAGCAACCTAGGGCTTCCCTAGTGGCACAGTGGTTAAGAATCCACCTGCCAATGCAGGGGACACGGGTTTGATCCCTGGTCCAGGAAGATCCCACATGCCACGGAGCAGCTAAGCCCATGCACCACAACTAGCGAGCCTGCACTCTAGAGCCCATGAACCACAGCTATTGAGCCCACATGCCACAACTCCTGAACCCGCACGCCTAGAGTCCGTGTTCTGTAACAAGAGAAGGCACTGCAATGAGAAACCCATGAACTGCAATGGAGAGTAGCCCCTGCTTGCAGCAACTGGAGAAAGCCCGCGCACAGCAACGAAGACCCAACGCACCCAAAAATAAATAAATAAAATAAATTTATTTTTAAAAAAAATCAGCCTAACTTAACCTTCATGCTAAAGAGATACATTTTGGTCTCTTTTGCTCCCCTATACCCTCTTTTTCTATTACCAAACATAGTTTGTGTAGGACTGAAATTAATTTATCCTTGAATGTTTTATAGCACGTATTGGTAAATTGTTCTTGGCCTGGAGGTTTATTTGTAGATTTTTCATTACTGTCTTTATTTCCAGTAGTTTTCAAGTATCTTCTTCATTCAATATTGGTAAGTAATTATTTTTCTAGAAATGCATCCATTTCATTGAAGTTTAAAAATGTATTGATATTAAGTTGTTCATAATGTTGCTCTTCATCTTTTTGTGTCTGAAACTTCTGTTATTGTGTCCCTTTATTAATTCATACTAGAGTTTATGTCCTCTTTTTTTTTTTTCTTGGTCAGTTTCACTAGCAGTTTACCTAAAGTTTATAAACTTTTACCCTTGTGGACCTTGTCTGTTTTATCTTTCTTTTATATATCATTAACATTTTGCCATTATTTTTTTTTCCTTCTACTGTCTTTTTTTATCTTATTTTTATAACTTCTTAGGATGGATGCTCTACTCATTAATTTTCAGTCTTTAAAAAAAATTGTAACAGACAAGCATTTTAAACTACGAACTTTCCTCTAATTATGTTCCAAATGCATTGTACATGTTTTGGTACATGATTCTTTTATTATTCTCTAATTCTAAATATTTTCTAACTTCCCTTATTAGCTCCTCTTTGAACTATTGGTTAGATTATCAACTATTTGTAAGTTTTCAAAAAAAGTTCCTTTTTGTGACAATTTCTAGCTTAATTACACTGTGGCCTGAGACTGTGGTCTACATTTTAAGAAAATCCAGTTTTAAGAAAAATTTGAGACCAATTTCATGGGCCATACATAGGTTGTCATTTTTTACATGACCCAGGAGTACTTGAAAAGAATGCTTTATCTCAAACTTTTAAATAGTGTTGCTCAAAATCTCTGTATCTTTAATTCCAGTTCTAGGACCTAGTCTGCCGTGTCCCTGGAAAAGGCAGGTGATTCATGAAGTTTTGAACTGGGTCTTTGTGGTGTTCAATCTTTGCTCTGGACAGTGTGCTCACCAGAGGGCAGGGCAGTCTCTGGTCCAAAGAGATGGTGCTGACTTTGTATTTCAGACCTGAGATCTTCAACGAGGACAGCCAACCACACAGAGGTAAGAGAGTTTGTTTCCAAGGTTTCTCCAACTTCCAGGAACATCAGCTCACACTCTGTGGCATTTCTTACCCTGTATATTCTAACTCTGGCTGGCAATGTCATCATTGTGACTGTAACCCACATTGACCATCACCTCCACACCCCCATGTACTTCTTTCTAAGTGTCCTCTCCTATCAGACACTTTCTACTCCCTGGTCATCATCCCTCGCATGATTTCCAGCCTTGTAGGTCTGAGCCAATCCACTTCCCTGGAGGGCTGTGGGGCTCAGCTTTTTTCCTTCCTTGGCTTTGCCCTCACCAACTGCCTCCTATTGGCAATAAGGGGGTATGCTTGCTATGCGGCCATCTGCCACTTTATTACTCGATCATCATGAACTGGAGGGTCTGTGCCAGGCTGGCATCCTCAGTCTGTGCCATGGGGTTCTCACTCTCGCTGGTTCAGGCTGTGGCCATTTTCAGACTGTCCTTTTGCAAGGCACTGATTGAGCATTTTTTCTGCGATGTTCAACCTGTGTTGGACCTGGCCTGTGCTACCGCAATCATCAATGATATCCTGACCTTAATTATCAGTCTCTTGGTCATTACAGGCCCTGCAACCTTCCTCTTCATCTCCTACATCCTCATTATTTCCATCATTCTCAAGATCACCTCAGCTGAGGGCTGGAAGAAGACCTTTGCCATCTGTGCCTCCTACCTCACTGTGGTCATCGTCCACTACGACTGTGCCTTCACTCCCTACCCCAAGCCCAAGTCAGAGAACACCAAGGATGATCTCAGTGACCTACACTGTCATCACACCTTTACAAAACCCTGTTGTGTGTAGTCTAAGAAACAAAGAAGTCCAGGATGCTCTGTGGAGAGTGGTGGGTAGGAAATCCCTTTCCTAAGATGAAATCCCTACCCAAATAGGTGTGCATGCCTTCCAGGAGGAAGCCTATATAGGTAAAGTTACAGAACCAAGATTTCAAATGATTAGTGAAGTCTCATACATCACAGACAGGGCAAAAGTGGAGCTGGGGTCTAGCCTCTAATAATTGATTTTCACTTCCTCAACCTTTTGTTAGCATAAATAAAAGCAAAAGTCACTCAAAAACACCCATTGGCTGTATTCCAGTAGATAATTACAAGGTCAGAATGTGATCTAGTGTTTATCTCAAGCTTAAATTTAAAGTGACCAGTCCACTTTTTAATGTGGTATAAACTACATTAAAATCGCCACTCCATTGAATCCTCTTTTAACATAAATTGGATGCTTGAACAAGTGGTCACTAGGGAGGATATTGTGTAGAAATCTAAGTGCCTTGTGCTTTAATAAGATAGGCAAAGCAAAAATATAGATATCTTTTAGGAAATGGGTTTGCAGTGAGCTAAAATCCTTCTAGAGAGAATATTTTCAAACATGTGGGACTTCAAAGGAAAGGGAACCATGAGGTGGGAAGTGAAGGAGTTAATTGGAGAGAACTCCTAACTGCATATGATGGGCATGCAGCACACATGACTTGGTCTGATGCTTCGCTTCTTCTGGCTAGAGATGAGTCACATAAAGAAGTCCTTGCAGGGCTGAAAGAAGGGTCTCCCTCATGGACAGGATGCACAGCAGGCTCAGAGGAAGAGAAGACTAACAGCTCAGGGAGCAAACTGCTGAAAGAATGCTGTGAAATTGGCTGAAAAGAAAGAAAAGTTAGAAGCAGATCCAAATTGGAGCTTCCTGTGGTAGGAGAGCAAGAGAAGCCAGAAGTACAAGGGGAGGGTCAGGAGGAGCCAAAGAGAGTTTAGAAAAGGTCCTTCAGGTTGGGTCCTCTCCTGCCCTTTCTAAGCTAAGTCACAAAGGCAAAGAAAGAGAATTAAATGGAAATATGAAAAAAGGCAGCATAACACCTTTCTGATAAATTAGGTAATTTCATTAGTCCTGAAAATCTGAAAAGAGTCGACAGTAAAGGATTTTGACATGAAAACTTCCATAAAATTAAAGCAACTGCGTTAGAAATGGAATAATAAAAGGCAATTTACTGCTCCTCACCTTAAAAATATAAAAAAGAATCAGGGTGAACTTTAGACTCAATTTGTGACACAAGATAGGTGTTGAATCAAACTATAATGATCAAAATTCATAATTACTGAGCAAATAAAAATTATTATACTGATCTATTTATTAAAAGATACATAAGATACACATGAGTACACAGTATTCTCATTATAAAATATTTTTGAAATATAAAAATATCAAAATCTCTAAAATGATCATGCATTTTATAGGCTGTGCATGCAAGCACATAAAAATCTAACTTTAAAACGGTTCTGCAGTTCAGTCTACTTTGTAATTCTGAGCTCCCAATCTGCCTGACAGAAAAAAGTCATCTAGTCTTTTTCATGTAAACTGGGGCAATTTAGTAATTAAGTCATTTTATGAGTAAACAATGAAATTCAAGGTCCTGCTCCTGCCCTTTCTTTCCCATTATCCTCTGGGTGAATCAAGTTCTGGTGCAGGTGAGACAGGCTGGACCTGGGACCTGGGACCCTTTGTTGCAGTGCTTGCACCTGGACAAAACTCTCCTCCAGCAACAGAATACAAAGAAACTATAAGGACCTAAAAATAACTGCACACATGGCAGTCAGGCAATTATGAGCAATAAGATACAAAATGACTGGGACTTCCCTGGTGGTGCAGTGGTTAAGAATCCACCGGCCAACGCAGGGGACATGTGTTCGAGCCCTGGTCTGGGAAGATACCACGTGCCGCGGAGCAAATAAGCCCATGCACTACGACTACTGAGCCTGTGCTCTAGAGCCCGCGAGTCACAACTACTGAGCCCATGTGCCACAACTACTGAAGCCCACACACCTAGAGCCCGTGCTCTGCAACAAGAGAAGCCACCAAAATGAGAAGCCAGTGCGCCGCAACGAAGAGTTGCCCCTTGCTGCAACTAGAGAAAGTCCGTGCGCAGCAATGAAGACCCAACGCAGCCAAAAAATAAATAATATAAATAAAAATAAATTCATAAAAAAAAGATACAAAACAACCAAAAACCCAACTTCCACTTCTGAGATGTCAAGCAAAATCAGGGTCCTGCACATGATTCCTGCACAAAGCACCACCAAGGGGTGCGCAGACCACCTAAGCCACCCCTCTGGCTTGACCCAAGGGTCCACCCCTACCCTCACCCCATTTAAGGGACCAGCTCACCCCCACTCAGGAGCAAGCAAGGGAACCTGCTACTTGCTTTCAGTCCCTTGTGCCACAACACAAATCCCAATAAAGCCTTGCGTGAATTTCTAGTTTGACCTCTTATCAATTTCTATTGATTAAGGAGTCCAAGAACCCTGGGTTGGTAATAAAGCCTTCTAGTTTTCTTAGCATGGAGGAAGAGGAACCTGATCCATGGTCACTTCCACCTGTCCATGTTGGATTTCTATGTAAATACATGACTCCCGTGGTCATCCTTGTCATCTATTGTGATGACTCTGGTTTTATCATGCTCTTTAATTTCCTGCACTTCATCTTCCTTGTGACTACTCTAGGTCCACTGGCCCTTTCTCAACCACTGCTTGAGGGCAATTGGACATTCAGTTGCACCCTTGACCCTATAATGGAGTAAATAAGACAAAGTGGGGTGTCACCAAGGCATCCACTTGGATGTATCACTCAACTGTTTCTGCTCCACCAGGATTCACGTGTTTTCTGAGGCTGGGAAGTGAGGGACATATCCCTTCTGCTTTATCCGTTGCCACCCGTTCTTCCTTACAGCAGGGTAAACCTGGTATCTGCTGGTAGATCTAAGAGTGGGCCTTCCCCAATATCCAACTAACTCCAATGTTATCTTCTCCACAAAGCTGGATACCTTTATTTTATTTTGGCAGAAAAACCTAAATTATTCCTAACTCTGTAGTAGTTTACATTATACATTTCACATACAAAGTACTTTTGGTGCTTAGACTTTTGATATTCAAAACGATTCTTTGTAAACTAACTGTAGCTTTCCTCTCTAGAAAAGTTTGCTAAAGTTAAAAACTATTTCATCTTTTAAGACAAATGTTTTAGTTATGAGTTTAAAAAAATCTTTTTGAAATTCAATTGACCTTTTTTTTCTGGATTCTTTTGGGCTTACCCTTCCCTGGAGCAAATGAAAGTCCTCTGAAACAATGTGAAATATGGAAATAATGTAGAATTTTTATTCTGTTGCATTTATTTAATGTGTCAACAACATTAATTATCATAGATTTAAAAAAATGTTTTATTATCTAATACAGATAGTTACCTGCCATTATTCTTCTTCAGAATATTTTTAGGTGTTTTGCCTGTTTAAATTTTTCATATAAATTTTAGAAGCAGCTTATTTAACTTACACCCCTCCCCAACACACACACATACTCAGCACAGTTACATACATACAAGCGAACCAAACTCTGGTATTATTTTATCGAAATCCTACTGCATTTATTAACTAATTTATGAAAAACTAACATTTTAATGATCTTGAGCCTCCATATTAAGAACATAGTATTATTTTCCATTGGTTTAAGTCTCCTTCTGTTTTTTACTTTTTACATTTCAAAGTGATCAACCATGATAACCCTAGTTACGATGTCACCATACAAAGATGTACATAGTTATGTTCATAACCATGACTGATTTATTTTGCAAATGGAAGTTTGTACCTCAACATCCCTCACCTATTTCTTTCCTCCTCCCATCCCTTTCCCCTCTGGCAACCACCTGTTTGTTCTCTATGACTCTGTTTCTGTTTTGTTATGCCTGTTCATTTGTTTTGCTTTCTAGATTCCACATATAAGTGAAATCATACAGTATGTGTTTAACTTCTTTCACTTAGCATAATACCCTCTAGGTCCATCAATGTTGTCACAAATGGCAAGATTTCATTCTTTTTTATGGCTGAATAATATTCCATTGTAAATATTTACCACATCTTCTTTAACCATTCATCTATTGATGGACACTTAGGTTGCTTCCATATCTTGGCTATTGTAAATAATGCTGTAATGAACACTGGGGGGGCATGTAATTTTTCTAATTAGTGTTTTTGTTTTCTTCTAATAAATACTCAGGAGTGAAATTTCTGGGTCAAATGGTAATTCTATTTTTAATATTTTCAGGAATCTCCATACTGTTTTCCATAGTGGCTCTATCGATTTACATTTCCATTAATAGTGTATGAGGGTTCCCTTTCCTCCACATTCTCACCACCACTTGTTATTTGCTATCTTTTTGATAATAGCCATTCTGACAGGTGTGAGGTAATGTCTCATTGTGGTTTTGATTTGCATTTCCCTGAGGATTAGTGATGCTGAGCATCTTTTCATGTGCCTGTTGGCCATTTGTATGTCTTCTTTGGAAAAAATGTCTATTCAGGCCTTCTGTCCATTTTCAGTTGGGTTGTTTGGTTTTTTTGATGTTGAATTGTATGAGCTTTTTTTAAAATCCCTTATTGGATCTATCATTTACAAATATCTTATCTTATTCACTAGGTGGCTTTTTCATTTTGCTGATAGTTTCCTTCACTGTGCAAAAGCTTTTAAGCTTGATGTGGTCCCATTTATTTATTTTTATTTTTGTTGCCCTTGCCTGAGAAGACATATCCAAAAAAATATCACTAAGATAAATGTCAAAGAGTTTACTACCTATGTTTTCCTCTAAAAGTTTTATGGTTTCAGGTCTTACATTTAAGTCTTTAATCCATTTTGAATTTATTTTTGTGCATGGTATGAGAGAGTAGTCTAGTTTGATTCATTTGCATGTAGCTGTCCTGTTTTCACAAAACCATTTATTGAAGAGGTTGCCCTCTCCCCATTATATATTGCTTTGTTTGTCATAGATTAATTGCCCATATAAGAGTGGGTTGATTTCTGGGCTTTCTATTCTGTTCCACTGATCTATGTGTCTGTCTTGATGTCAGCACCATACTGTTTTGATTATTGTAGTTTTGTAATATAATTCAAAATCAGGGAGTATGATATCTCAGCTTTACTCTTCTTTCTCAAGATTGTCTTGGCTATTTGGGGTCTTTTTTATTTCCATATTTTACACATTTTTCTATAATTTTTTTCTAGAAGTTTTACAGTTTTATTTTTTACATTTAAGTCAATGATCCATTGTGAGGTTTTTGGTAATAAGCTGTGAGATTTAGATCAAGATTAAATTTTTGCCTACAGATATCCAATTGCTTCAGTTCAATTTTTTTTAAGGGCTACCATCTTCCATTTTGCACATTTGTCAAAAATCCATTGAGCGTATTTATGTGCATCAAATTCTGAGTTTTCCACCCTGTTCTAGTGATCTGTGTGTCTACTGCTCCAATACCACAGTATCTTGGTTAATGTAGATGTATAGTAAATCTTAATTTTGGGTAGAGTGATTCCTCTCACATTATTCTTCTTTATCAGGATTATTTTAGTTTAGGTCTTTAGTCTAAGGCCTGTGCATCTCCATATCAATTTTAGAATAAGCTTGTCTATGTCTACAAAAATGCTTGCCAGGATTTTTATAGGAATTGCATTAAATCTATAGATCAATTTAAGGAAAATTGACAACTTTATAGTGTTGAGTCTTCCAGTTCATGACCAAAGTATGTCTCTCCATTTAAGTCTTCTTTGATTTCTTTCACTGTCATTTAGTAATTTTTCAGCATACAAATCTTATACATGTTTTGTTAAGCATATACTTAAATGTTTCATTTTCTTTGGAGAAACTGTAAATCAGTGGTCCCCAAACTTTTTGGCACCAGGAACTGGTTTCGTGGAAGACAATCTTTCCACAGACCGGTGTTGGGGGGGGGATGGTTTGGGGATGATTCAAGCACATTACATTTATTGTGTATTTTATTTCTATTATTATTACATTGTAATATATAATGAAATAATTATACAACTCACCATAATGCAGAATCAGTGGGAGCCCTGAGCTTGTTTTCACTTGTCACTCACTGATCAGGCTTTGATATGAGCCTGCAAGCAGTTGATTTATTATGGTCTCCACGCAGTCAAACTTCTCTGCTGATGATAATCTGTATTTTCAGCTGCTCCCCAGCACTAGCATCACTGCCTCAGCTCCACCTCAGATCATCAGGCATTAGATTCTCATAAGGAGCACTCAACTTAGATCCCTTGCATGCACGGTTCATAGTAGGGTTCGTTCTCCTATGAGATTCTAATGCCACTGCTGATCTGACAGGAGGTGGAGCTCAGGCAGTAATGCGAGCCATGGGGAGCGGCTGTAAATACAGGTGAAGCTTTGCTCACTCTCCCGCTGCTCACCTCCTGCTGAGCAGCCTGGTTCCTAAAAGGCCATGGAGCAGTAGTGGTCCATGGCCCAGGGGTTGGGGACCCCTGCTGTAAATGATATTGTGCTTTTAATCTTGGTTCCCTCATTTTCACTGTTAGTATATAGAAATGTGATTAACTTCCATATGTTGATACTGTATGCTGTAACCTTACCTAACTCACTACTTCTAGGAAGTGATTTTGTTTTATTTTGCTTTTGCAAATGCCTTGGGTCTTTCTACATAGATAATTATGTCACCCACATAAATAGGGGCAGGTTTACGTCTTCCTTTCTGATCTATATGCCTTTTTTTTCCTCTTTGTGTCTTATTGCAGTAGGCCAAACTTCCATTACCATGTTAAATAAGAGTGGTGAGAGCAGATATCCTTGCCTTGTCCCTGATTTTAGGAAGGAAGCATCCAGTCTTATGATCCTATTGATCCTTATGATCCTATTGATTTTTTTTGATATGCTCTTTATCAGATTGAGATAATTCCCTTTGATTCTTACTAAGAGTTTTTGTCATATATGGGTGCTGGATTTTGTCAAATGTTTGTCTCTGTCAAGTTCATATAATTATATGATCTTTCACAGGAGTGGCACATTTATTAAAAAAAAAAAGAGGAACAGGAAACATCTAAGTGATTACATAACAAAAGGAGCTTCTTAGTTGAAAGATCCTTGTTAGAAGAGGGAGCATCAAGAACTCAGCAGCTAGTATCAACCTATTCTTCCACTGTCAGCTCTTTGCCAAATTACTGAAAGGGGAGAGAAAATTAGCCTTTGAGGCCATGTCGAGTAGTATTTCCTGACAAGTTTTGTCAGTTCTACCTACAAAACAAATTTATCCATTTCCTTCCATCTCCACTGAAACTGCTCCTATACAGAAACAATCTTCTGTCAGTATCTACTCTCCTTGTTTATTCTTATTCTTTTCCAATCAATTCTCTACATAACAGCCAAAGTTATCTTTTAAAGATGAAAATCAGATCATGCTCTTCCCCTAATTGAAAATACCCAATGGATTCCCATTGTATTTGAAATATAATTTACTCTCCTCATGATGACCTATAGGCCCTACCTGTCCTTGTCACTCCATGCCATTAAGAATGATCTCATCTCTTATGTCTAACCTCTTACCTACTAGTCCGGTAACTATCAACATAGGTTTATTCCCGCTTAGGAACTTTATACTTGCTATTCCTTCAGTCTAGAGTGCTCTTTTTCTCCAGATTCCCATTCATTCATTTATGCATGTTCATTCTCTATCATTCAAGCCTCAACTAAAATGAGAAGTAATCTTTAGGGATTCCTTCCTTGATCACTTCATCTACTATAATGCCCATCAATGTGGGCACTCTATTAGGTGTTTTATGGGTTTTTTTGTTTTGTTTTGGTTTTTTAGCACTTATCAGTACCTAAAACAAAACAGGAAGGTTGAGAATAAGGGGTGGAAAACTGTATTCCAGGCAAATACCAAACAGAGGAGAGCAAAAATCACTAACAAAAACAAACAAGCAGTCAACGAAGCAAAGTTCCTGCTGTCACAGAACTTATTTTCCAAGAGGAACATAGATGATTTTAAAAGTATGTAAGTTACATGTACTGTTATTTTGGGAAATGATAGTGTTTGGAGAAAAAGCAAAAGGAAAAAAGGACAAAAGGATAGTCATCCCTGGCAGCAGGAAACAGTAGCCCATTTAGATCAGGTGGTCGGGAAAGGTGATGTTTGAGCGGAAGAATGAATGAAGGAGTGAGTGAGCCACATAGAATAAAGAGTGCTCCAAGCTAAGATAAGATCTGGGGAGAGGTTAACCTTGGCATGTGTGAGGAACAAAAAATAGGCCAGTGTGGCTGGAGGGTAATGACCAAGGCAATTAAGGGGAAGATTGAAACTGTGGTCTTATAAGCTATGGTAAGGACTTTGAATTTTATTCTAAGAGGGTTAAAAATTCATTGTAGAGCCATCTGAGCAAAGGGGCTACCTGATTTGATTTAGACATTAAAATCTTTACTCTGACTGCTACTGTAATCAACCCCCAGACCCAAAGGAGAAGCAGGGAGAGGCCAGTCAGGACCTTGCTGCTGTGGTCCAAGTTAGAGGTGATGGCAGCTTGGAACAAAGTGTCCCTTTGAGTGAAGAGTTTGTCGGCTCAGCTGGGGACATGTTCTATTTGAGATGCTGAGGAGATATTCAAGAAGAGAAAATGAGATGACTGTTGAACATACAACTTTGGAGTTTGAAAAGAAGTATGGAGTGGAGATTTAAGTTTGGAAATTGTTTAAAGCCAGAAGAGGAAGTGATCACTAGGTTGCAACTGTAAATACAGAAGTGGTTTGTGGCTGAAACTTGAGGTAGTCCAACATCACGAGATCGAGGAGAAAAGAAAAATGACATTGGAAGGGGAAAATATGAAAACTAAAAAAGTGTGTGTCCTGGAAACCACATGAAAAGAGATTTCCAAGGAAGAGAAATTAGTCAATTGGGTCCAATGCTGCCAATATGCCAAGTACATTGTGTTAGAATTGATTGTTAGATTTGGCAATATGAGGTGTTTGGTCTCATCAAAAAAAATCTGTATGAGAGATGGTGATAAAATCCTGTTTAGTGTGAATTCAGGAGAACAAAGGAGAGAAACTGAAGACAATGCAATTCCTTCAAAGAGTTTTGATGTAAAAGGGAGCAAATAAATGAACCCGTAGCTGGAGAAGGATACGGGATCACAGGAAGGTTGTTTTTATTGGCCTTTATGTTTGTTCTTTTAGGATGAGGAAAATTACAAGCAAATAAGTTTGTAAATGAAAGTGATCTAATGCAAATTTGATGATTCAAAAGACACAGAGGAAAACTGCTAAAGCAAAGTCCTGAGTAAGGGAAAGGCGATTGGGGTACAGTGCACAAGTGCATAGATGGTCTTGTTCGATGTATACAGAGTGCTCCCCACAGTGAGAGTATACGAGGATTGGTACTGAGCACAGATGCACATGGTTGGGTTGATGTGTTGGTGGGACTACATGGAAGATCTCTCCTAACTGCTTTAATTGTTCTTAATGAAACAGAAAATAAAGTCATGTGCTTAAAAAAGGATAAGGAAGAATCTTTGGAAGTTAGAGAATAGAAAAGAATGTGTGAAAAGTGCAAAGAGGGTGAGAGAAAAAATGGTAGGCAGGAATACAGAGGGGTTCCCCAGTAACATCAAGACCCCACTTAGTGTTAAATGTTATGAATTCTAAGTAAGACCAGTTATCATAAGAATATATTTTCCACCAGTGAAGTTCAGCTGCATGGGTGCTCTGCACAAGAGGAAAATTTGATTTAACCAAGATTGGTATTATGCCAGGTAAGACAGGGGCACGTGAATTAAATGTGAATGCAATGAAATGATAGTCTGTGTCATTTTAACAGGGTAGAGAGGACAAAAGGGGGCAGTAACATGGAACTTTGAAAATGACAGAAATAAACATAGATATAAAATGTAGGGCTTTATAAATTGAGGAATTATTTAGATTAAGATACCAGTGAGAATGAACTGGAAAAATAAGTGATGGAAATAATAGTTCTTTAGAAAATATAATGGAAGAAGATATCTCATTCCTAAATGAAACAAAACAGATCAAATACATGGAAATAGAAAATATTCATTTTCTTTTTTTTTGTTTTTTGTTTTTTGTTTTTGTGGTACGCAGGCCTCTCACTGTTGTGGCCTCTCCCATCGTGGAGCACAGGCTCTGGACGCACAGGCCCAGCGGGCACGGCTCACAGGCCCAGCTGCTCCGCGGCACGTGGGATCCTCCCGGACCGGGGCACAAACCCGTGTCCCCTGCATCGGCAGGTGGACTCCCACTGCACCACCAGGGAAGCCCAAAAATACTCATTTTCTACATGAAGAATATTTTAAAACCCTACTGAAACACATAAAAGAAGACAAACATTACCATTTAAATCTTGCTTTGGGTAGAAAGCCTCAGTATTATAGACTAAAGATGTTTATTCTTAAATTTCTGTGAATACAATGAAAAATCAATAAAAATACCATTAATTGTTAAATGTGAGAATAACTGGGGAAATTCCAAACAAGAATAATTGGGGGGAGGCAGATTTAGCATACGGTAGCATAATGTAGTAAAAATATGAGATGTTTGTATTATTTGATATATGGTGTTGAGACAATGGCCTAGTTATAGGTAATAATAAAAGGTGCATCTGATTTCATTTTAAGAAGTACATCTTTGTTTCTTACAACCAATTTGATTCCAGATGAATCAAATACTGAAACATAAAAAGTATAGAAGACATGGGTACTTAAAAAAATAATGTTGGAGTTAGGAAGGCCTTGATAAACACATAAATAAAATGCTAATAAAATTTCAAACTCACAAACTCAGTAATAATGATAAACAGAAGAAAAATACTGCAACATGTATAATAAAAGGCATATTTCCTTATTAGAGAACTCTTACAAGAAAATGATGACAGAATATGAAAAATGAGCAAGGTATGTAAATGGACATTCACAGCAAATGAAGTACAAATGATTAATAAGTATATGAAAAGTGTGTAAATTAATACATCTTATTTTGGTTTCAGTTTGGTAATAGTTATTAAGTTTTTGAATGCACATATCACTAAGAAGTCTTACTTTCAGGAATGTATCCTACAGATGTGCTCCCAGAAGTGTACAATTATATGTGAACTTTATATATAAAGTGATTTTCTTTATAATACCCTTTAAAAATGCCCAAAACTGCAAACAGTCTATATATCCATGGATATTTAGAATAGGGTAAATAAATTATGTTATACTCTTACCTTACTATATGCAATTGTTCAAATGAATGATAAAAACCTTCATGTATTGTTTTGTAAAGACATCTCGAATGTATTGTTATGTGAAAAAGCAAGTCATATAACAGTACACAGAATACAGTCCATTTGGATTACAAAAAAGGAAACACACACACACACACACATACACAGGTATACGCAGAGAACATTCCTAAATTCTATTTAGTAGGTTTGGTTTTATTTTATTTTCTTATTTTCTATATTACACTAAAGCCTGTTTGACTGTTTTGCATACAACTCCATCTGCTTTATTTGTTCAAGAGAGGATGTCACTCAGCTGTTTGATAGCTTTGTCCAAAAGGAAGAGTGCACCTCTCTTACATGGTCAGAGAAACAAAGCAGCTAGAGATGTATGTGTATGTCGTTGTGTATTTGTGTACTTGTGTGTGTGTGTGTGTGTGTGTATATGTGTGTTTAAAATTGGAGAACCTCAACCAAAATCAGTGTTTCCAAAAAGTGATAGAATGTAATGAAAAGTTCATCCCCTTTGCAATATTTTCAATATTAATTTCAACACCTAATTACAATTTTCAGAGCTTTTCTAAAGTGAATTACTCTTTTTTTTTGAATTTTTGAATTTTATTTATTTTTTTTATACAGCAGGTTCTTATTAGTCATCCATTTTATACACATCAGTGTATACAAGTCAATCCCAATCTCCCAATTCATCCCACCACCACCCCCAACCTCTGCCACTTTCCCCCCTTGGTGTCCATATATTTGTTCTCTACATCTGTGTCTCAGTTTCTCCCCTGCAAACTGGTTCATCTGTACCATTTTTCTAGGTTCCACATATATGTGTTAATATATATTTGTTTTACTCTTTCTGACTTACTTCACTCTGTATGACAGTCTCTAGATGCATCCACATCTCAAACAAATGAACAAATTTCATTCCTTTTTATGGCTGAGTAATATTCCATTGTATATATGTACCACATCTTCTTTTTTA